AAAAAAGTTGCCCAGCCCAGCAAAAACAAAAATCTCTGAGTCTTTCCCCATTTGCAGGAATCCCAGTTTTCAGGTAGAGAGACCTTTTCGACGCCGATATTTAATAATCCTCGGGGAGGGTTTCTTCTTTTTTGCCCCCCACCTCTAGGAGTTACACAGGCAGCTTTCGGGAAATGCTGGTGGGAAGAAGCCGGGAGAAGATCCCTGCCCATGGGAGCAGGGAAAAAAAAAAACAGCCCCCGGAAAAAACCCAAACCCCAAACCCAACCAAAAAAAAAAAAAAAAAAAAATCAAAAAACCCCAACCCAACACTCACAAAAGAGAGAGAAAAAGACGCTGGAAGAGCAAGATTGCAACGTCTCAGTTCAAGGTCACTGTCTAGTGTAGTGAATAGGATCGACATCTTATGCTAATGACTGTCTCGATGAGCATCACTCACTGCACGGGGGAAACAACAACCCCAAGTTTGGGGTTGACTTTTCTGTGCTTTGCCCTTTTTCCCCCCCCCTCCCCTGTTTGGGGGATTTATCCCTGCGCTCCTCCCTTCCTCCTCTTCCCATTTTGCACCATCGCAACCTCTCTCTACCAAGCGTGAGAAATAAAATTTCCCCTTCCCCTCCTCCCGCATTTCATCTTCCCCCTGCACAGCCCGGGGAACCCACTTGAAACAGGGTCTTTCTCCTCCACCCCTCTAGCCTGGTCTCTTAAAATAAAAATCATAACAATAAAGTCAATAAAAATAGCCCCAGCAAAATATTTACGTTTCAGATGGGAAGGACTTAGCCCCACTTTCAGTTTTCTCCCAGAAAAGACCATGAGATTTAACCCCCATAGGGCAAAAATAGTCTGCAACATATCTATTGCATCTTTCTGCCTGGAAAAGGGAAGGAAAAAAAAAAAAAAAAGCAAATTAAAAGATCTCCTTGTGCGTCTGCAGGTTGGAAAAACAGATCCCGTCATGGCTCAGCTTTTCCGCTCAACCGAATTTTACCCCAAACTGGTTGGGAGTTGTAAGGAGTTGCGGTGACTCTAACGAGAAGTTAGCTGCCAGGGTCAAAAAAGGAAGTATTGAGAATAAATATATAGATACATGACACGGGGAATAAAGTATAGACAGGCTTTGGAAAGCCCACAGAACTGTTAGTTGGGCTTAGCTATATATCACTGAAACCTGCCCCGGCTACTTTTTCTGATGTGGAAAATGCATGTCTATAGCCACCTTATAGATATATAAGTGTACAAGACACCTTATATGTATCTATCTATATAAGAAGGTAGTAAAATGGAATACGTAGGAGCTGGTTAAAAAAAAAAATAACATGGAAAAGTGGTAAATGGATGCGAATAAAAACGTCTACGACACTTCAGCTCATCCAATATACAAATCATCTGGGGCAGCTTTCAGTTTTAACCAAGGCAGGTCC